GATTGAGGTAAAACCTCATAATTATCCGAACCAGGCTATAATATTAATAAACATCATGCGTTATTATTTTAAGTGAACTTTTATCTTTTTATTTTTTTGGAAATTAACTTTTCTTTACCAAGTCAAGAATTTCTTCAAAATATACATCAACTCTGCAAGTATCCAGATTTTCACACCTGCGATGAATGAATAAGTTCTGATAATTTGGCTTGCCTCATTTTATTTGCTCGATAACCAAATACCAATAAAAGCGCATCGATCACATTTGATTTTCCCGAACCATTTGATCCGACGATAGCAGAAAATGACTTTTGAAATTAATTTTTAATGTTTAGAGAGAATCTCGGGACGCAGCAAAGCTTCAAGAAACAAATATACTGTATATATTATACCTTATGAAACAGTTAAAATATGACTTAAAATTATTCAAGATCAATTTTACTGATAACAAAGACCGTTCCCAACCCCTACGTATGTGTGACCCTAGTAATAAGTACTAAATTCGGACTAAAAACTGGTTTTTATCTTGGACTATAAGTCCAGTTGGCCAACACTGCCCCCATGTTTCCAAAAAAAATAAATAAAAATTCTATTTTATAAATGCGTTACTAAAAAATGTACTAAGCATTAAAAAATATACAGTATGTATAACATACACTCTATTCCCATTCTCTTGGGAAGTCAACCTTTACAGTCCAAGTTTTTTGAAAAGAGAGGAAAAATTTCATGATTCCTCTACGGAAGAAAACGCCAAACCACGCCGCCGCCGGACCTCCGTCAACTGCGTCAAAATTTTCTTCCTTCTCTATATTATCTTTAAAATCCCAAAATAATCGTAAAAATAAAAAAGCAGTTTATGAATTTGGCAGGCGATCTGTGGTTTTCCTTCCTCCCAACCGGTCGTTTTTGGGAGAAACCAATTTTATTTATCATCGACAATGGATAGAATAAGATATTATTCTTTATTCAATTCCCTAGATTTTGGGGATTGTTACAATTTGGGAAAAAGATTGTGAATATAGTCAACAAGTAAATAGGTTATTACGGGAGAAAAGTTTGGACAGTTGGTAGGGAAATAATAGGGACGGGATCTTGGAATTTGAACTATTTTCATTTAGGAAAGGTATATAGAGTTACAAGTAGTTTCCTTGATCGCTTTACAGTTTAGGAGAATTTACTTTTCTTTCTTTTGTGGATTGTTAATTTAAATTTAAATAAATGTTTTATATCGTGTTTTTTCTAGTCTGGTGTTCATTTTGTCAGAGTTAGAAAATTCTAGGAAAATTTTCATTAACGATAAGTTTAGTCTCGTTTATCATGATCGAAATGGATTCTAAATTGAATGATTGGTTTTTCTCGTTTTCAGATATTAGTCGATAGTTATGAGAGATGTCATGTATTCTAGGATAACCTGCTAATTGCGGTGTGGTGAACGTGATTCTTGTAAACATTCTTATATGATAAGCAGGTGGGTACCTCGTTAGGGATGCGTAGGTGATTGATGGATTTTAAAAGATCCAGCAGGGTGCAGGAACCTTCCGCAGAAGCTGTCGTAGAGGTTCTGCAACATTGTTAAGGGTCTCCAATATGTAGTCAAAGGGGACGTATATGTGGTTTGGCGTCAGAAATTTCATATTCATCACGAGAGTTTATCTGGTGGATAATAATAAAGATTTGTAAAGGTTAAGGATGTGGTATATGTGGTATGGTGCCGGAAGTCTTAACTCGACAATAAAAATTGTAACACTTAAAATTTTTTCAACTTCTCAAAAAAGTAAAAT